GTTGTTTGGCTTTTAGGAAAACATAATAACCTGTCACTCCTCTCTTTCAAAGAGAGTGAAAGATGTAAAAACAGATAAGATTTTTAGCAGACTGAAAATCCTGTGGGGTCCTAGATCCTGCCTCCTGTTTTTTAAGTTACAAGTTCATGAGTCTTGTCCTTGTTGACATTTGTTCCTGAGAAAAATGCTAAAATACTCCCAGTGGAAGAAAATAGTTTGAAGATAGCAAATGGAACTATCATAAACTAATATTAAAGTACCAGGAACCAAAGGTGGGGACTTAACATGGAGTGTCAAAATGTAAGGAATGTAAATACCAGGAATATATAAAATAATTCACTAATTTATTCCATGTTTCAGATAATTTTTCATCTCAGATTTGATTTTGAAGTTATATATTCTCACATTACAGCATTTTCATTTCTATATGGAGATCAAATAGCCCTGTAAGAAAGCAGCACTAAAACCTACTTGCTTAAATTGTTCTGCCTTTATTTTGCACATATTTCATTATGTACTTTTCCCTTGCTAAAAAAAGAAAACTGCTGAAATGGAAACTTATCTACTAAATCAACATCTTATAAGTTTTAGGTGGCAAAGTCTACAGATAGCAGACTAAAGCCAAGTCAACAACATTTTCTTACACTACTTCAAAAATTTATATGCTTCCTTTTCTATCAGAGATCTCACAAGATCTCTGTACCTGCCTGTCAAACAGAAGCTGTGCAGCTGTAAGTAAAATGATAATTGGAAAGACAATGTTAGCAGAATTCAGGCATCTCTCTCAAAGCAGCTCAGTCATATGCTGTATGGAATAGAACCAGAATTGTCTGAGTAAGGGAATTTACTGTTTCCCAGGAAATGAAATTGCCTGCACACATCTGGCAAAACGTTCTAAATGTTTAGTTTTGAGAAAATATACATTTCAGCTCTGCTTATAAGGTGAGTTCTGTAGAGTGGGTATCTTCTTTCTAAAAAGGGAAAGATCTAATTTGTACTTTAAATATACAAAGCCACTATTTGCTATTTTATGGCAAACACTGTATACACTCAGCTCTCAAGCAAGCAGGAAATTACAGGCTAAACAGCTATATTTTAGCTTACAGAATAAATGTATCATGAATGTAAAGATGACACTCCATATTGACAACAGAAATTAAAGATAAAGGGAACAATGACCACTAAAGAAACACACTGAGAGGAAGCAACTAGTCTGAATTATAACTTTTTACTCAATTTCATACTGATGTTTATAAGACTCCATGCCAAATTATTTCAATTCCTCCCTATTTCAACATGTCTAATAAAGAGATGGTCCTTCTCATAACTGACAGGGGACAGATCCTGGTCATTCAGCTTTTTTGGAATAAGCCCTTCCCTTCAAGCAGACTTGTTATAACACCCCTTAGGCTCACTAAAAAGGCATCTTCCTTCCTCTTCCTCACATTGCAAGGACAGAAATGTATTTAACTTGCCTAACTTTTCACACCAGTTTTCTAAATTTAGCTATTACTACTTTCTTTCCCCCTGAACTCTGACTGGCTTTGACTCCCTGGGGAGGCAGAGAAGACCACTTCCTCCTCCACAGCTGGGAAAGCTGCTCCCAAAGGGATAGAAAGGGTGAAGGATCACAATCAAATGCTCCAAAAGATGTACCAAATACGGCACTATCCTGCAGTGAAGGGTTAAAGCAATGTATATTTATTTTGTTGGCAAGGTGAATGCTCACTAACTTTCCCGACAGCAGGACAGAACACTTCATAAAAGCAAAGTGAGTCCATTGGACCCAGATGGGGAAACAGAAAACCCTCTCTCAGTTATGTGTGTTGGGGGTTGTATTCCAGTTATTGCCCCTATAGCCTGCGAGTATCAAGAAAAAGCTGGGGAAAACATTGCCATGGTGAACTTCAGGTTACTCCACGAGCTAGATGAGAAGCACAGTGAACAGTAACTAACTGGTGATGCCTGGTGTGCTGGTAAGAGTCTTCCACTAGTAGTCTGTTGTCAGTTCTCAGAATAATACCTGTGCTTTCCATACCTTTTTGCCAAATTGCTGCCATAGCAACTGGCCATTTACTCATTCATTCATTCATTGATTCAAAACAACAACAAAAAACCCCAAAAAACAAATCTATCCAAAAATACAGCAAAAGATGAACTTGTTTCTCTCTCCAGTATTCCTACAACCACAGTTCTCCCTAGTGGAGGCCCAGGATACAGCAAGCCTTCCTAGGCAGTCTCCAAGTTCAGTTTTTCTCCTGGCCCCATTACAGCGCAAGGGCCTCCCGGGGGTCATGCTTCAGCCTTTCCTAAAGGAAAACAGACTCCAGTTCAAACCTTTAGAGACACTCCAGTCTCTCCTCAAAAACCCAGCAAAACTGAGCTGCCAGATTACAGTGGTGATCCGACTCACTTGGGTGGCACACAGATGTCAAGCTTCTTCATAGCCATTCAGAAACTACTGAGTTAATCAAGCCTCTCATAGAGATCCTGTCTAATGAATTCTCAGCAGACTCTTCCTTAAGTCTTGCCTTTTATATATGTATAGTCCATTGAGTAGAGGCCTAATGATTAAAAAGAAAACTTCTAAAAGACTACAGTGCCCAGTTTCATCTTTACATTTCATATATAGCTAAAGAATGAAAAAAAATCCATGAAAATATAATCATAAAAATAAAGATTATCCTCCAGTTCTTCCTCATTAAGAGACAGATATTTTCAGGGCTGGGGCAATCTAATTTTCAGCACTACTCTATTGAGTATAAGCAAATGGTGGGGAAAGGGGGAATGACTAGTAAGATATGGCCCTGTATTTTTTGAACTAGCTGTTCAAGGAAAAGAAAACACAGAACACGTCAATTTAAGAGCAAGTACAAGTCATAATAGGAAATTCTCATTTAACTTAGCAAATTAATTAAAGTACTCAAATAACAGAAAATACTGAATTTCAGTGTCTGGTTAGACACTTAGAAATGCTTCACACAGTCTAGTGCATTAATCTAATGCTACATTCTGTCTTCCCTGGGTAATAGCAGGTTTCTCAAGTACCTCACAAAATACGGTTATTCACATGTAATTAAACTGAATCCTTTCGAAGACTTTAATACACTGAAAGTTAGACATCAGTACACAGAAGTTTGAAACTTTTGTTATCAATGCAGGCAGCTATCACATTAATCTGCTTTGCTATTGCAATACAAAGTTGAAGGGATAGAGAATGCACAATTTATATACCAAACTCTCCAAATATGTACATTTTGTAGAAAATAATCTAGACTGTTCCAAACATATTCCTCTGTTTCCTCTGGCTGGAAGGATGAACAATGACAGATGAATACTCCACAGGAAAAAATCTGACAAATTGGTTCCACTTGTCATAGTCCAGATATAATTAGAATCTTTCTGGAATTCTCCAGAATTGAAGTCTAGAGATTGTCCTTTCCAGAGGTAACTGTGTAGTATGTAATGAAATCCCAGCAGCTTCCAACAATGTAAGACACGCATTTTAGCTGCTACAACTGTTTTTGACAACCCCTGGAAACGGCTACCACAATTTAAGAAGTAAAAACCACATTAATACACTATATGAGATACAGCAAATTATGTAAGACTATCTGTCCTAAGAGATCCCAAGGCATGCTGGGATTTTCCTCGAATAAGAGAAACTTTGGTCAGTAATTCATGTTAGTTTGATGAGCATGGCATTCTCTCTGTTTATTTTAATAAAAAAAAATCTATAGTTTCCAGATCCAGACCTAGCCAAAATCTCATCAGGCAGTTTGTCTTCAGGAGTCAGAGTCCTATCATGTTGGTTTCAAGAAGTCATTTTGTTTCTACAGAGAAGTAAATTTTTCCAAAATTTCAGAGGAATGAACTCTTTCCCAGGGTCTGGTAGTTGGCTAGTAATTTTCCACTTTTTCAAGATGACTGATTACTGCAGAGATCATGGGAGTGGGAAGTAGGGGTAACCTCCTTTTTACTCTTACATATACATTTCAAATACTTAATTTATTAGAGTTTCCCTCACCTTTTATGGGTATTTCTCACTTCTAAGGGCACAGAATTGGGCTAGGGAGAGCTGACAGGGTAACTGCTATTCAGCCATGCCACTTCCTGGGCCATGCCTTACTGCCACTGCCTATGGATGGTTATTCCCTCTTCCAGTCCCAGCTGACTCGTGATTTCTAACTCTTATTAACATTAACACTTCCAAAGTAAGCCATTTCATACAGAAAAAAGGGCCTTTAAAATAATAAATAAAAAGCTTGTAAAGCTTTTTAAGATATGAAAGCTTTTTAAGCTTGAAAGATATGCTTAAAAGTGAGTATTCATCTCAGAGATTCAGTAAAATATGAAGTTTGTGTTCAGCTGAAAAACAGCCCCTTGTTCTGTTCGCAAGGACGTGCCCATGCCTGCTTTTGTATGCTTGGGACAGTATCTTTCTCTGTTATTACACAATGCTTTAAACACCAACTAAATTACATCTTGGTTCAGCGCATTTAAAAAAAAAAAAATTTTTTTTTAAGAATAAGCAAGCCCAGGAACTTTTTTTTTTTTTTTGGTGGGGGGGGGGGGAAGGAGGGGGAAGAGTTTAAAAACCATTACCCCCGCAAATAATTTACAAGCATAGTTGGAGGCTATCGGAACTGATTGCTCTGTCTAGGAAACCCTTAATTAGAGCCGTGCCGCAGGAATTCGCAGGGGTCCTGCTCTGCCGGCTCCTCCCTGGGGTTTCCTCTCGCCGCCCCGCTCCCTCCAGCCGCTCCGCCGTGCCCCCCTCCCGGCACCGGCGAGCGGGGGAGGGAGGAGCAGCTCCGCTCCCGGTGTCTGCCCGCTCTCCCAACTTATCATATAAGGGCCAGGAAGGGATTGATCAGGGTGCCGGGGCGGCAGGAGCTCGGAAGGGAAGGCGGCGGGCCGGTGGGCCAGGCGGGGCCGGCCCGGCTGCTTCCCTGACAGCTGCGGGCACGGCGGGAGCGGCCGCACCGCCCCGGGCGCCAGAGGGAGGGAGCGAGGGAGGGAGAGAAGCCCAGCCCTGCCCTGGCGGCACATGGCAGCAGAGCGCTCCGCTGCTCCGCAGGTTAACTAGGGCCGGGCTCCGGCCAGCGCAGCCAGGCTCTCTCGGTCCGCCGCGTTACCGCAGGGATTAAAATGCAGCTGGCTGCCTGCTTCTTTTTGGGCTGCGGTATCTTTCTAGCTTCAGGATACAACTCCTTCAGTAAGACTATGGAGACGATAGGCAAGAAGCAGTACCAGGTTCAGCACGGGTCGTGCAGCTACACCTTCCTCCTGCCCGAGACGGACAACTGCCGGTCCTCCACTCCGTACGTGTCCAACGCGGTGCAGAGGGATGCGCCGCTGGACTATGATGATTCAGTTCAAAGACTGCAACTACTTGAGAACATCATGGAAAACAACACTCAGTGGTTAATGAAGGTGGGGTAATATGATTTCTGTCCTAAAAATCTGGTTTGCAACATCCTGTTATCTCTTTAATTGTTTGTATGTTTGTTTTCTCTAACAGTTTCTAAATTCACAAAATGCATTGTCTAAGATAGATTTTTGGATTACCTTTCAGTCAAAAAGTTCTTTTGAAGTCTGGGGATATAACTTTACTGACTAGAAAGGACCAGAGAACCGCACAGTTCTGCAGAGATCATGCCTTAAAGTTTGTCATTATACTGGAGTTGCTTGGACAAATAGTAACCACATACAGATGCGGATCGTGGGCACATCTGAAATTTCTGACATGAAGAACCAGCTACTAATTTATAAATAACTAACAAGGGGTATTCTAGCCCTATTCAAAGAATATGCAATGTACGTTTATCCAGGGCACGTTTAAAAAATGTTATCTGAAATGTGATTTCAAAAGTTGGATGCAGAAATTAACCTATTAAGCGCCATTGATAAAGAACTGTAATTCTAAGCAAAGACTGCAAGTCAGACTTGCAGTGAAATTAGTCCTGTGAAGTGATAGAATTTCAAGAAAGTTCATTAGCGGATATTCTTTGCATCCTGTAACATTTCCACTCAAATGTACAACATTCAAAGGAAAATATTCTGGAAAAGGTGTTGCAGATGCCACAAAGCTTCCTTTAATGCAACTCCTTTGGAACTAAGGGAAAATGACATGTTTATTGCCAATGTGGAAAGATTTGTAACATTATACCTGAAAGTGGCAACATTTTTAACATTATATCTGAAAGAGCAGATATATATGCTGTACATATTCTTAATATTACTGGAGAATTAACCTGATAACTATTTCACTTTTTTTATAGAAAATAATTTGATTCAAAATGCTATGCAGTTGAACAGATTTTGATTTTAAAACCCTTTATTTCACTAGTACCTGAAAAAGTGTGATAATACATTTTAATTGCATAGTAAACTTATAAGCATTTATGTTCTATACCGAGACGCCTATCTTCTCAGCAAAAAGTATCTTGAGGACTTGACATTGTATTTCCAAATAAGTGTTCTAGTGATGTCTTTGTTTTTTTTTTTTAATGTAAGAAATACGTGTTGGAAACGGAGAGAATTCAGTTTTCTACAATGAGTAGCCACTTCATACATAGCTATAAAATTATTTTGCATTAGGGTTCACTCCTCTCATCAGTTACAAAGTTATAGAACTAGTATGATACAATCAAAGAAACCTGCTGGCAAACTTGAGTGTAAGAAACAGAAGTCACATTCCAAAGCAGACAGTACAGTGTTTTCATCAACCTGAAAATGAGCCTTGAAGTTTAAATCCAAAATGCATACACTTGGAGGCTCCAGTGTGGGACTCTAAATGTCTCTTTATAGGTTTAGGATGCTTAATTTAGGCACCCAAATAATGTCAGTTGAGTAGCTCTTGTGTTTTTAATCTAACAGGCAAACATACTTCTCTCCATATATGTACTTACCATTCTACTTGTTAATTTACAATGCTCACTATTGTAGTGTTAAGACCAACACTAACAGATGTGCAATGCAAGATGAAAACCACACAAAGTAAAACCAGTCCAATCTACCCAGCTGCTAAGCAATTTCCTAACATAAATAGTAAAATCACTCAAGACTCCAGTATTAAATGCTACTTGAGTAGGCAAACACAGTATCATAAGTGGCATCAGGTAAACAGAATCCAGTAAACAAATTCCAGCATCCTTATTTAGTAAAAACTATGCTTTTTCCTGTCAGTCCCTGGGAAATCAGTTCTAAGAGGAATAGGATAAGTATCTCTAACCCGTTCTTTGGGGGATTGAAAGACAGAGTCTGATTTACTAGACAGAAACGTTTCTTTCATTTGAGCAAAGACTTCCAAATAAGATGCTTTAGAATAGCCTGATTTTTTTTTTCTAGCTGTTCCACAGCTAAACATCCTGTAAAATAATTGCTGTTTGCTTTTTTCACTATTTTAACACCTGTTCTTAATGTCATCTGTTTTGTTCACAAAGAACCTCCAACAAAAAGTAGCTTTTCCTCAGATTTGCTTTGCTAGAGACACCTGGTCTGCAAGTGAAGATGAAAAGCAAACAACAACCTTTAAAGCTGTTTAGAGTTTATTTGCTGTTCTTTTTAAGGCCACTAATACACAGTTTTAGGTTCATATTTCAACTTACCAAAATACCATGCAATATCAGTCAAGGCAGGGCAAAAAAATTGTGTTCACTTAATTTTTTTTTAGTGAACTGAAAGTATAATATAAGACTGGTTTTAAATATAACCTGACATTAACTTGCACAAAAACCAGCATTAGGTCTTGCTCTTTAAAAGTTACTTTTGTTCATTTAAGAGGCAGCACCTGTTTTGTTTTGAAGTTGTGTAAAAAAACACATTACAAACTTCTAGTGTGAATTAACTTTAAATGTTGTTCCTGAACTATTGCACATCCCAAAACATTTTTACACACCTCCCCCTCTCCTGCCTTTAATCCATCAACTAAAGGAAATGCTCTGTTTCTGAATGAACACTGGGTTGTATGAATGGAACCGCATGGGAAGTGTGCACTTCATCTGCTTAATGGACAAACACAATGGGAAGAAAATGAGTTACATACATCCAGGTTCTTTTCTGATCTCCTTCTGTGTAGAGAGCAGGAGAATTTTTCCTACAGTTACTACAAGTTGCTTCTTCATGAAAATACCTTTTTTTTTTTTGGTCTGAACTTTAATAATGCCTTATGCTACTACTGTACGTGCCATACATAAAACTGGAGAATGTCTTCTGAAAAGTAGATTATGTTTAAGCATTCAGATGACATACTAGAATAAACCACTATTCCACCTAATCCAGTGTTTAGCAGTAAGCCAGTAAGTGATACTGTGAAGCAAAGGTCAAAACCCTAGATGAACTGTGTAGTAACATACCTGAAATTAACTTTTCTATTTGTCTTTCCCTATGTTGGGATCAATTTTTATACTGAAGTGTAAGATTTTTTTTCTAATGTGCATGTCAGCAGGGAGAGTAAATCTCTCAATAATAAAATCTTCAATTAATTTGAGAGGATAGCAGATTGGTATACAGATGAGATACAAGACTGGAAATTTTAAATACAGACATGTATGTTGGCTATTATATTTTGGAACTTTTTATATAGAACATCAGGTTTTCAGATGGTCCTAAAAGACAGGCAATTCCTTTCAGTTCAACAATTAAACAAATTTCTGTCTGAATAAATGTCAGCTTTACCATTTGGATCGTGGTATTTGATCTCAAGGAACTGCATTTTTTCAGGTAGTAAGACATTGAAATAACTGAATGCTGACTTGAATTTGCTTCTTAGTACATTGACTAGACTATGATTCAGGAGATATGACTGTCCAAAGCAATAGTGTAAATGCAATAGGTCATTTTTTCTTAGTATTTCCTGATGCAAACAGCTGAGAAACAATGTATGATCAAATTGCTTACAGCAAATGGAATATGGGTAATTTATTTGTAGTTTATCAGCAGATCAAAAGATTAGAAAATAAAAGTCTGTGTTGGGAATCAACATTTAAACCTAAGATTAGAACTTCATTCTGAACTATCCCAGCAGACTGATGGGTGCATTGCTGATAGAAATGCAGAATCTTCGTATACTCTGAAATGAGATTCGTTTTCCCTTGTCATGATATCCCGAAAGTCAAAACCCATTTGTTGCTTTGAAATACGTTTCTTTCTAAAGCCTAACAAAATCAGATGTTTTAATATATACAAGAATGAATGTTTATAATTTCTGATGAGTAATTACCAACGAAAGGTTGTAATTATTGTCATACTGAAGTTCATTTCTCAAATACAAAAAGATATTCTGACATACTGTCATGCAAAGCCATCAGCACACAATGGACAAAGACAAATATATTGTACAGTGCTGGATTTTGAAGTACGCAAGAGATGATTCTGCCTCTGAATCCTGCATTCCTTTCTTGAGTAATGCATCTGTTTTTACTTATTGTGAAAAGTGCTTGTTTCTGTCTATCAGCGATGTATTTGCTAAGCAAAAGAGAACTGGCAGGACTCAAAAGAAAATATGTTTTTACTTTCAGATTAGTACATGTTACCAGATAAAGTTTCCACAGTACTCTGGATGATATAACTATGCAGTTTATTGTTGAATATCCTGTAGGTAAATTTCAGCGAAAGGATTTGAAAAGACACTTTTGCATGTGTTTAAAAACTATGTTGCAAAGACCATTTCTGCATCATTCCACAAATACCAAATTGGTGATACAGGTATGAAACTGCATGAAACCACCAAAGAAGATGAGATTTTTCTTGTACAGATCTACAAGACAATTGAAGTTGACAGTTTGCCATCTCTGAGATGTTATCAGTAAAAAATGTGATAAACAGAGTCTTGTTTTACTGAACCACTCTCTTGCTAGCATTCAAGATACACTTTTTTGTGTTTTGTGATTAACATAGTCATAAGCTTCTCATCTTTGACTGGTCCAAACAGTAAACTGGGAGACTTTCTCCACCAATTATCAACATCAAGTACTTAATTTCTCTTCTTTTTTCTTTCTTCAAGTGTACATATAGGAAATGAGCTTGGAGATGCCTGAATTGCCAGTTCCCAGTCCTTTTAGTTTGCATACCCACTTAACATATAAAATTTAACACCATAACCTTTAGAATATCTTTGAAATTTTGGCAGGTAGACTGAGGTTCAGACTGGTGTTTATTTTACAGACAATATAATTTACTGCTCCTCTTTTCTTGTTAATTATGAACAAATTCCACAGTGTGCATCCCCCCTTAATTTACCGAGAGAAACAATATAATTTACTTGATTCCTAAGCTATCACATACATATTGCTTAGAATGGCCTAGAAGATACAGATACCCATGTCTAACCTTCAAAATGCGACAGCTAGTATCCTCACTGACTGTCTAATAGTGTCCTTTACAGAGTACAGTATTTGCTTTTGAATATGCACCATATTGTATTATTTACA